TACTTCAGGGGCTCTGTTACTATTTTTGTTTCTTCTGTTTTTCTGTTCATGCTTTCATATACATATACTCTATTTCAACCTCTGTGTGTGTGTGTGATGTGTATATAATATATGTTTGCATTATCTTTTTTCAATTAAAAGTTATAACTAGTCTTAACTGCTACTTAATGTTCACCAGGTCACTAGTGTTGTTCATTTAAACAGTTAGGTTAAGTATTTTTACATTCTTTGAGCATAAAGTTTTGTTCTACCTACTTTCTGTCCCGTTCCATCTTTTATAGAGATTCCATGAAGTTATTAGATTAACAAATATCAGTGTTTTATGTTTTTGCTACATATTGCCAAATTCTTCCCAAGAGTTATATATCGACAGCAGAGCCTTAATCTTGGCCACATCCTTTTTTATGTTTATTTCATCTTGCTAATTCCAGGTGGATGATTTTGTTCATTATTAGTGACATTGACTTCTTTTTTGTTGTATTCCTTTTGTGAATTGTCTTTACATATTTATTTTTAAAGCATAGATAGTTTTTCTTTAGATTTATGACCTTTCTACATACAAACAATAATTCTGAAGCAGAGTGTGGTGATACATGCCTGTAATCACAGGCTGAGGCAGGAGGATCAACACAAATTTGAGGCCAGCCTGGGCTACACAGTGAGTTCAAGACCAGCCTGAATTGCATACAAAGACCTCATCTCAAAAAGCCAAAATATAAAAACAAATCAATCATACAGCATTCATTGTAGAAATTTTTCTGGGTGTTTTTACCCATGTGTTTTGGATATATGACATATTTTGTAATCTCAAATTTGTGTGTTATCAAATTCAGTAGTATTATGTAGGATTTTTTGGTTAATTGTAATAATATTTGTTAAATTTGATACATAATAACTTAGTGATGTGGATCAGTAATAGAGTGCTTGCCTAGGATGAGTGAGGCCCTAGGCTCAATCACTAGCATTATAAAACATAGTAGTAATAATCTGATGGCCAGGGATGTTATTAGCTCCTCAGTTTTTCAGTCTCTTCCCCTCTTCTTTTTGGTTCAGGTAGGATCATTATAGTTGTTGGGGAGGAAGGTTAACTTTATTTCTGTTAATTTTTGATTTAATGGGATGGGGGTATTTTTTCCCCATGTCCAGTGTACCTTCCTGACTTACTATTTTTTTAGGGTCTTAAACATTCTAAGCCTTTGGTATTTACAGATTTAGCATTTATAGTTTCACCTATTCTCCACTGACTCCCAAGGTGGGTCTGACACAGAAATGTGCAGTTTTGCTGAGAATGAAATGTTTTGTGATTGCCACCAGGCTTACTAATAGGAGCTTATTACATAGCTCAAAGAGGGCATCTGTCAGACAGGCCAGCACCTGCGTCTCAACGCAGCTTTGTTTTTCTCTACTTGTCGTCGCGTACACAGTAACTCTTGAAGTGATAAAAGCTGTTTCTTTGTGAAATATGGGTCTGTAAAGAAAACCAGCTGCTAGTGCTGGTGATGGAAGTGAAGAAAAAATGAAGAGGTGTAAGAAAGTGATGGTTCTTAGCCAGAAAATAGACGTTTTGGATAAATTAAAGTGGTTTTGCAGATTCAGGTAAGTTTGTGATTGATTAATGTTGCTGTAGTACTGATGTGGTAGTTTGTATTTTGAGTGGCAGAATTTATAACTTTATAAATGTGCACTTAGAAGCACAGTAGAAATTTCAGGATTTCACTTGTGTTTCAGTTATGCTGCACTGAATTTTAGAGAAGTTAGACCTTTAGTAGTTGACAGCTTGAGCTCTGGAGAGTCACTGCCATCTTGGGATACACTGCACCTATTGTTCAGTTTGGCCTGTCCTGGTCGGGTAATATTTCTGTCCTTTTAGCGCTGTAGCACCTTTCATTAATTTTGACATGTGGTACTTACTCTTGGATCTCTTCTGCTGGTCTTTTTCTCCTTCCCAGAATTAAACTTTTTTAATCATATATGAACAATAACACAGTATTATCCAGTCAAAAATGTGTGTTTTTGACTTGGTGTTTCTGTTAGAGATTCTGTGAGTTGTATAAGGTTGGTTATCCCTTACTCAAAAATATTTGGGACCATTTTAAAGAATATTTTTAATAGTTTTGTGCATAAAATAGTTGCATGGTATAGAATTTACTGCTGTAGTATATTGGTGCTCCTAAATTTTTGAATTTTAGGAAGTGCGCCCCCCCCTCTGGATATAGGGTCTCACTGTATTACCCAAGCAACCTTGTATTTATGATCCTTCTTAGTAACTGGGATTATAGGCCTGTGCTATAATACCAGCCAGATTTTCAGGTTAGGGATGCTCAGTCTATATAAGAATTTAGAGAGTTCCCAGGAATTCTATTAAAATGTTATCTAAAGTCACCCTTAAATGGTGCCACACTTTTTTATTTTTTTTATTTTTATTTTTTTGGACAGGGTTCTCACTACATGGTTCAAACCTTGAACTCACAGCAATCCTACAGGCTCAGTTTCCCAAATCCTGGGATTGCAGATGTACGTCAACACACATTTTTAAATTGTATTCTTTTTAGCAGACGGTTCTTAACATCTCTGTTGACTAAGTAGGACTTCTATTAGATGCTGGATATAGAGAAGAGCTAATAGTCATCTCTCAAGGAACTCCCTTACACAAGGAACACTGGGAGCAGAATTATGAGATACTAATTAGGGTCCAACGAAGAGGAATTTCTCAGTGGAATTTAAGAATAGTTGTATATGTTGTAATTGGGCTACTTCACCCTTTCAACATGTTTTCATCTGGTTATGGCATGTATATTACAACGATGGTGACTTAAGCCTCTTTCAGCCAAATTAAAGAACTCATCTGTTTTATTTTAGCTGATACCTTTGGATTTTCTTGGCAGTCTTGCTTCTTTCAGCTTTCTCTTCCCAGTAATTTATTACTTTTATTATTATAAGAATGTGAAACAGTATTAAATTACAGTGATAGACTTCCTTGTTTTGTTCCAAGAGTATGAGAATGCCCAGGAGCTTTGTGATTAACCACAGTGCTGATTTCAGGTTTAAGCAAAGGATGCGTGCTATATTCTAAGAAGAATCATAGGTGCTTATTAGGACTAGATACTGACTCAGATGCCCTGTTGTAATTTATTTCAGTAAAAATGACTTTTAGTCTATTTGTATAATAGTTTTATATTTCTGAAAGAGTCTGTTTACCTGTAGTCTAGTCTTTTAATATATTTGTTATTTCCTGGCCTGTATTTTATACATACTTATAAAAGAACTGCAATCTTTTGTAATGACTTCAGCGGACTTGCGAATTGGACATAACAGTTATCTCTCTGAGCCTAGAGTTGACATATGGAAGCATAAATGAATGTTCTATTACTGTACTTTGAGTTCATAGTATGTGTAAAGAAAAAGCAAATATAAATAAAACTTACAACTCAATCTTTTCCAAACTACATTTGAAAAGTTGATGTTTTGTGATTCCTTTTTTATTGAAAAAAGAACAGCTGCTCAAGGACTTGATTGTAGTTATTTTAAAAATGCATTTTGCTTGTACAAGAGAACTTTTCAGGACACTTTTGTCTTTTAACAAATACAAGATTTGAGAAAACACATACTTGTGGTTTGAGTTGGTAAAAGCTTTTGTTAATTTTTGTTTTATTATTTATTTGTGGTACTAGAGATTGCACCCAGAGTCTCAAGGCACACTTGTCAAGTGCTCTACCACTGAGCTGCTCCCAAGCCCTTTTCATTTTTTCTTTGGGAGAAGATTTTGCTGAGTTACCCAGGTGGGGCTGAAACTTTGCAGTCCTTGTCCCTCAGCCTCCCAAGTAGCTGGGGTTACAGGTGTTTACCACTACACTCAGATATTTGAACTGAAGTAGAATATATTTTAAGATATGACTGTGTACTTGTGTGAATTCGTAGAACTGTTAATTTAAATATAACTAAAGACATTTCCACGTTACATTTGCAAATTATAGTTGCTAATATTACGGAAAAGAAACGGTTGACTTACTAAATGTAGCATGAAAAATGTTACGTCTAATATTAAAGACATATTTTTTTAAAGACATATTTAAAGAGACATGTTTGATATTACTAGAGTTCATGAAAAATTGAAATAACTATATATACTGATACAGTTGAGACATGGATCATAATTCTTTTGTAGGATATGACAGTTTCAGAAAATTTTGTAATTCACGTTTATACCAATTTGCAAAGATGATTTGAGTGTCAGACTTCGATCTGAAATTAATGAGGAGGAGGAATGTGACAGTTTAGTGATAGGGCAGCAGTAGGAGTCTTAAGTACCAACATTTATTGGAGGAGAGGAATTACAAGACGTGGTGGCTGTCAGCCAGCAAGCTGCTAAAATTAGCTGGGTGGTGGCATTTAGGAGGACGTTTGCTGGTGATTGACAGGGCTTCTTGCCTGGTTCTAAGCTGCATCCCCAACCACTGTGTGTCCAGGTACAGCTGAAAAAGTGCAATTCCAAAAAGTTCTTAGGGCAAAGAGGTAGGAATGAATGTATTTAATAAATCTGTTGAACAAATTCAGCCTATGTTGAAGTAGTGATTAACAAAATTAAGGTGTTATAATATTTTAAAGGTAATACGACAAAAAATACTAATTTGATAGTAGTGAACTAGAACTGAATCACTAGAATATAGCAGTAATAAACAGAATGGAACAGGGAATGTGTTAGCAATGTGGATATTACAAGTATGCGTTTGTCCCTCAGTATCCGGGGAACTAGTTCCAGGATCCCCCACAAAAATCTATAAATATTCAAGCTGTTAATACTGAAGGGCATTAGTATTACATAACCTATGTACTTTCTCCCATGTATTTTAAATCTTAGATCTAGCTTGGAAGCCCAGACATGCAAATATGTGAAGTCCAGGTTAATTATATGTACATAATATGTCAAGTTTCCTGGTTGTTTTCTGTTTTGAAAATATTTGAAAGAAGATGGTGAACTTACTGATGTTTCTATTTTTCAGCTGCCTTTCTAACCCAGACTGTGTGCCTTGATGACACAACAGTCAAATTTGAAATATGGGATACAGCTGGTCAAGAAAGATACCACAGCCTAGCACCAATGTACTACAGAGGAGCACAGGCAGCCATAGTTGTGTATGATATCACGAATGAGGTAAGTATAAGTGCCTCTTACCTTGAAACTAGTTTGAACATAATTTTTTTTTATTAAATTAAAGTTTTTACAAGGAAAATTATTTCATGAAACTGCTTTTTATAGCCAATCATAACCTTTCTACCGAAGCTTTTGTAAGTGAAAATATTAGATGAAAGTGTTTCAAAATAATACAATTGCTATTTCCTCCAGTCATCTTAAGTCTTTCAAAGACTAATCTCATACAGATGCTTTCTAACCCTTTTTGAACTTATGCCAAATATCTGTTCTTCTGTTTAACAGGAATCTTTTGCAAGAGCAAAAAACTGGGTTAAAGAACTCCAGAAGCAAGCAAGTCCTAACATTGTAATAGCTTTATCAGGAAACAAGGCTGATCTAGCAAATAAAAGAGCTGTAGATTTCCAGGTATGTTGAATTTTCTGCTTGAAGCCTTGTTTTTTGTAAATAAAAGCCACACAAATAATAGAAAATACAGATTTTAATACAAATGTCCATAAAACAAACACAGACTGCTTAATACTCTTTATTAAATACACAGATATAGAGTGCTTAATACTCTTTATAAAATAGAGTGCTGTGTACAATAAAATATTTCTCCTGATAGGTCTGGGCATATATGGTCAGTGGTAGAGCATTTGCCTAGCATATTACATAACCCCTGGGTTTGAACGGTGGTACCTCAAAAGAAAAAAAAATTTCTCCTACTAGACCTTTAAACAACGTTCTTACGTTATTATAGTATGCAAATCACTCAGTGATTTGCTTGACCTAAACAATTACAAAAGAATTGTTTGCAAACAGTGCAGAAATACAGAAGGCAAAAAGTGCCTCCAGCTTCATCCCTATACACACCCACTTTCGTCTTTCATGTCCCATCTCTGCTCATCCCTCAGTGTTACTGTGAATCGACGCACTTGCACACACCTGTGTTTACAGAAACATGCGTGCTCATGCTTAACATTAGAAAGGCCATTCAGAAATAAAAGTTCAGAAAGTCCATACTCTGTGTGAGCCAGAGACAGGGAGGGAGAGTCTCCCTTGTGTGGTTTAGGCTGGCCTTAAAATTCCTCTCTCATTAATCCTCTTGCCTCAGCCTCCAGAGTGCTGGGATCATAGGCGTGTGTCACCCACCAGTCCCAGCTTAGAAAATCTACCTTTTATCTGTTAATATCTAACTGAGAATGTTCCCTGCTGCAAAATACATGCACTAATCATTTGAAAATGAGCCAGGGGGGCTGGGGATTTAGCTCAGCGGCACAGCACCTGCCTGGCAAGCGCAAGGTATGAGTTCGATTTCTGGTACCGGGAGAAAAAAAAAAAAGTAAAAATGAGCCAGGGGCCAGGAATGTTGGTGCACAGCTATAACCCCAGCACTCCAGAGGCTGAGGCAAGAGGATTGCTATAAGTTCTAGGCTACATGGTGAGTTCAGGGTCAGTCTGAACTACATAGTGGGATCCTGTCTCAACCTTCTCCCCAAAGAATGAGACAGAAATGAGCCAGGAATCGTGGCACACACCTATAACCCAGCACTTAGGCTGAGGAAGGAATTTGAGGCCAGCCTGGGATACATAGAGACCCTGTCTCTTTTAAAAAGAGGGGGGCAGTAGGTATAGGTCACTGGTAGGGTTCTTGGCTGCCCTGAGTTCCTGGGTTCATTATCCAGTAAACATACACTCGACCACGCACAGGAGGAGGGAGGGAGAATGAATGAATATTCTCTTAATTGGACCTTTTAAAACTGCTTCTATTCTCTTATTCTTTAGCACTTTTTCCTCAAAAAGTCTGGTTGTGGTCATTATGTGATGGGCTAATTGCCTTTCTTTGGTGGTCGTACAACACATGCACTGAGAAAAGGCAGCTATTTCTTGAATCACTAGGTATTAAGCTAGTACATTACAAATGCAGTTTCATTTCATTCCTGTGACAACCATAGGAGTTTTAGTAACATCCGTTGTCCATTCCTAATTACCTCCCTGTTACTAGAGCGGTAGAAAGAACACTTACAGTCAAAAGTGGCCCTGCCATGTAACAGTTCAAAGCAACCTTAGTTCAAAGTCGTTTCTTTGTCAAATTGGACAGATGAGTGGTTGCTTCCCAGAACACCTGTGAGGATCAAAGTCCGTGATATATGTAAACTGTGAAGGTGACAAACGTGGGGCAATAATGTAATTTTCAAAGGAATGATTCATGATGTATTCAAAATTAAACACGAGTGTCATTCAGTGGTTGAGGCCAGTTAGACATTCCTTTCTGTCTTCATGATGTAGGCATAAATAATTGCCATTGTGATCAAAGAGCACTTTATATTTAGACTAGGATAATCCCTCTTCCCTCAAACTTATTCCATAGTGTATTTAATGTTAGACCAGATCAGCCAAGGCAGGATAGGAAGCTAAGGCAAAAAAGAAACTTTTCCACAGTAAAAATTACCAGCCGAGTGCTGCTGCTTATGTTAGTTTATACACAGTTGTTGGGTTTAAGTAATCAAGTTAAAAATGGTAGGTGGTAAGGAAGCCTCCTTCTTTTCTGTAGCAAGACAGGTATAGTGTATGTCCAAGGGTATGTCTAATTTTTTTCTCTCTGAACAGGAAGCGCAGTCCTATGCAGACGACAACAGTTTATTATTCATGGAAACATCAGCTAAAACATCAATGAATGTAAATGAAATATTCATGGCAATAGGTAAGATTAATATTCTTTTCAAATGACAAAGATGGAGCATACTTGGATTTGCCTGTCTTAAAAAATTCTTGATTTTTAAAAAATTAACTACTTTTCTAGATTCCACCTGTCAAACACTGCTTTGTTAAGTTATGAAAGAGTATTACTTGTCAGTCGTGTAATACTATAAATTTAGGCATGTTCCTTCCAGCTGAGTTATGCCTGGACTTTGAACTAATGGTTAAGCAGATATATTTTCCAAAGATTTCACTGAAAAGTTTGGGTAAATACATGGTTTCTTCCTGTTATTATTTACTTTTATGTATCCCTGATTTGTGGGAATATATTCCAAGACCCTGGGTGAGTGGCAGAAACTTCTTTTTTTTTTGTCCCCTTTTTTTCTTTTTTGGTTCCCTGGTTGAGAAACAAATGACCTGTTACATTTTAACTACACACTTAACACACACTGCAGCCATGGCATTTGTAGTTTGAGGGGCAGCAGCAAAACTAGCAGATTGCTCCTTTTCTTCACAGTTTCAGTTATTTGGGCTGCTGTACTGGGGATACAACTCAGGGTCCCAAGCATCTTAGACGAATACTTTGCCACTGAGGTACATCCTCAGCACTGAAGATTTGATTTTTTACTATAGATGATCAGATTGGGTGATGAACTTGGGGCCTGTGCACTGTGCTATATCCTCACCCTTTCTTAGGTTTTGATTTTTGTTGTTCAGTTGGTTGGTTGGTTTTTTTGAGACAAAACTCATTATGTAGCTCAAGCTGACCTCCAACCTGTTATTCCTGCTGTACCAGACTCCTTTATGCTGCGATTACAGACATGCACTACTACACTTGGCTAACTGATCTGTTTGAGATAGGATCTCACTATGTAGTTTAGGATGGCCTCCAAACAGAGGCAGTCCTCCTGCTTCAGTCTGTCTCCCGAGTGGTGGGATTACAGGTGTGCTACACCATGCCTAGTCCTTTTTACTTTTTTGAGACAGGGTTGCATTGTCACTGAATTGCACAGGCAGGGCAGTCTTCCTGCCTCAGCCTCCCAGAATGGTGGTATTACAGATATGTGCCACCGTGGTCTGATAGATTTTTTTTCTTAAATCAAGTACTTTTTTACCTTTTCACTTGAAGGAAACACTTTATGGCTTATCTTTGGCATATCCAAATTAACCACCATCAGTGCTCTTGCATTCTATAGCCATTATTAGTAAAGTAAGTTACTTGAATGTAAATACTAAGATACCATGAAAGTCATTCTGGTGAGTAAAATGACTACAAGTAACTTATGGGCAAGTAACAACACTAGACACAGGGATAATGAATGTCGTAGAGCAGACAGCTGGATGGTGCAAGAGTTTATCTTACAACTCAGAACAGCATATCATATGAAGTTTAGGAATTATTTTTGGAATTTTTCATATAATATTTTCACTCCTTTCTTGATTATAGTTAATTGGAACCAAGGGAGAAAACTATAACAGGAAGATAAACTCAAAGCCATATTTACTAAAGGAATGTTTTATTTTGTTTTTTGTTTTGTTTTGCTTTGCTTTGTTTTGTTTGGAGATAAGGTCTCATGCTGGTCTCATACTCACAGTAGTCTTCCTGCCTCAGCCTCCTGAGTACTGGGATTACCAGGCATGCACCACCAAGCCCAGCTACTAAAGAGTATTTAATGTGATTTCTTATTTCATTAATTAATTATTTGGTTTGTCCTTTGTTCTTAGCAGAGCAGTACTTTTGTTTGTCAAGTTTTTTAAAGTCATCTTATAGATAAAACTCAGAAGAGTGCAGCAATATAAATATACAGGTTAACAAATTATTTTAGGTTTTAAAATGTATTTGTTTTTTGTACTGCTGGGGATTAAAGCAAGGGTCCATTCATGCACTAGGCCAGTGCTCTGCCGCTGAGCTACGTCCCCAGACGAGCAAATTACTTTAATGTAAACGCTTGGGAGAGATTTCAAAGCGCTGAGACACATGGGAAAGGAAAGCAAAACCCACCCGGGCTTTCCCTCAGGTCACATTTGCTGTGTGTGATGCTTTTATCTTTGCTTTTGAGGTACTTCTAACATGATAATTGCTGTTTCAGTTTCTGATTATAGGTAATGAAGTTGTGGTAAAAAACACTCTACATGGCAAAAATAAACGTATTTCTGTTGATTGGCCCTTACCTTTTTCCAGTGGTTTTCAAGTGTGCAGTGTGCCTTTAAAGTATAAGGTCTATTTCCCTGGCTGTCACAGCTTACCACTTGCACAGTTTTTTTGGACCTGGCACTCTTTTCATCTCCTGTTTTATTATGTAGCAGGGGGATTCTTAACTGGGTATACACCATGCAGGTCCAACACACACACCAAAATGTACTTGTTAAATTTGGACAAAAACTTTGGTTTTTGAAGGCAGGATCTCACTATATAGCCCAAGCTGGCCTCAAACTCACAGCAGTCCTCCCTCAGCCTCCCGGTTGCTAGGGTTATGGGTATACAGCACCACTCCCAGCAAATTGGGACAAATTAACCAAATAATAACCAAATCGGAGACTAAAGAAAACCCAGCAAATGCAGGCATGGTAGTGCACATGCCAGAGAGATACAGTACGGTTGTGGAAGTTTGTGTCATAGTGTATTTCTTTTACAAATGGGATAGATTACACTCAGAATCACATCTAAAATAACAAGAACCAAGGAGACAGTAGGTCCCACAGATCAGCCTGAGCTTTAAAACTTCCTTAGGGAATTCAGACTTCACTAGCTCCATGGTACTTTCCTAACCTGCATGTGATCCTTGGCACCATAAAAAATAAAAACTAAAGAACTTCTTACCAGACTGTCCTTAATTTTTATCTTTTATTTATCAGGTATGTTGATAAGGTCATTTGTCATTAGAAATTAGACTCCAAATGGACTTGTTATTTTTCTCCTTGGAATTTGAATATTTTCCTTTTTGAAAGAATTCCCAAGTATAGAAATGGGATTTTGGTCTTCATAAGATTAATAGTATGATAACAGTGGTATGCTCAGCAGCTTTAATCAGTTCAAAGACTACAAAGTTTATTTCTTTCAGCCTCCTAATATGTCAGATGTAATTACACAGAATCCTTTAGAGAGCTATGCTGACAGAGGAATCGTTTGCTCATTGCAAAACCTAACTCATTATTATAATACAATTTATAATGCTGTATTCTGTTTCTCTGGTGTCCATATTTATCAACTGTAGGGCATTACTTTTAAATAGACTTGACTAGAAATTTATGCGATCATCTCCAGGGCCGTTTGTATTAAAAGTGGTCCAGTGAAGGCCTCGTTCCCAAACTTCAGTGGCCTTCCTGACCGCGGATCCATTGCCCAGCCTGCCCTATAGGGTTATACGAAGACAGTAAGTACTGGTGTGGAATATGTAGGACCAGTACAGAGTAAAAGATCCAGAATGCAACTAAGCATCCAGTGTTGTTTTATTTTGCAGCATCCCTTTATTATTTTTTTATTTTGAGGTGTGGTCTCACTAAGTTGCCATTTTCCATAGGCTGGCTTCAGACATGGAGGTCCTTCTGTCCTCAGCCTCTTAGAGGGCTGGGATTGCAAATGTGCACCACCATTCCAGCGGAGCTAACATTCAGAGTTTGAAGTAGAGCACACTCAGCCTCTGAGTAACCTGAGTCAAGGCCATAATAAAGTTACAGTCTTACCGTGGCACTGTAGCCCCAAGATGATGAACCAGTGTTGTCCCTTAGGTCCTCACCCTTAGACATATTTAATGTTACTACTCGTTTCCCTCAGAAAGTGAATCTGTACCTCAGGAATTTTAGGCATTAAAGTGAATTATATCTATCCAGCAGGTAGAATTCTACTTAGTAGAAACATACCCCAGAGCATAGCCATTAGCTGTATAGAATTCAGCAGAAGTAAAGCTATGCTAGTTGACAGGGCTTTGTTAACATTGGACAATCCATGCACATCTCGCTCAAATAATATTTGGAACAAGTTTTGGAAATAGACTCATTAGGATCAGTACCATTGATATTAGGCACAGCTACTGGTAGAACAGGCCACAGGAGGAAAATGTAGATGCTTAAAGATGAAAGGTGGTGGAAGCTAGCAAGGAAAAAAAAGAGATGTGCTGTTTCATAATTCCGTTTCATAACTTAAGTTGCACAGTAGAGGACATGCTTTTTGGGGTGGTGGTTAGGGTGGTATTTGTTTATATCCTGGTTGGTTCTGAAAGGTGTTTCTGGCCAGGCATGGTGGCACATGCCTGTAATCCCAGCACTTGGGTGGCTGAGGCAGGGAGGATACAATTTCGAAGCCAGCTTGAATTACAGAGCAAAACCCTGTCTCAAAGTGTTTCTGGCAGTCCAGAGAAAGTTGCTACTTTTTTAGTTCATTTTGAGACATACCTTTCTATGTAGTCCAGGCCAGCATTGAACTTGCTGTGTAGCTGAGGCTAGCCTCATGAGTGGCATCCTCCTGCCTCAGCCCTCGCAAGTGTTAGGATTGCAGAAGTATACTTCTCTGCCCAGAGCCAAACTGTTCTTAAACTCCTATTCTTGAACACAGATGTGTTTTCCTGTCTCACACAATAGCTGAGGTTACAAAGCTGTACCTGGCAGATTTTCTTTAATAGGAATATTAATGATTATTAAAGCATAAATTTTCTGGTATTACGTGAATCTGTACAAAGAATTATATAGACAGTATGGTGCCTGTCATCCCAACTACATGGGAGGCTGAGGCTGGAGAATCACAAATTCTAGGCCTACCCAGGCATCTTTGAGAGACAGACCCTGTTTCAGGGATGTGGCCCAGTGGTACAACACTCAACCTTCACTACGGTAGAGGAAGATGAAAAAGAATTACGTACAGCTCTTGTCAAGTTTCAGTTTCAGTTATGTGTCTACAGCTGGTCTCCATCTACCCCTTCTGAGAAACATCCAGAAATTAACTTCCCATCGGAGAGCACCCAGTGTTCTCTGGCATTTGATAGATACTCAGTAAACACTTGAACAGTGAACACAAGGCTGTGTGAAACTGTGGGGTTAATCTTGCTGGAAAGAAATACTATAAATAAGCAGATGAAGGAAATTTTAATAAGAATGTTCTAATTCTGTTTATTTTTGTATCCCTCAGCTAAAAAGTTGCCAAAGAATGAACCACAGAATCCAGGAGCAAATTCTGCTAGAGGAAGAGGAGTAGACCTCACTGAACCTACACAACCAACCAGAAATCAGTGTTGTAGTAACTAAATCTCCAGTTTGAGCTGGAATCTTCTGCTTCCTAAATGTTAATAACAGTGGAATTGGAGCATTTAACCAGCCCAGTATGACTCCCAAAACCCAAGAGACTTATGATAGAGTCAGATTTCTAATACAAAATTATTTTAAGTGTTTTGAACTTGATTTTTAATAATATGCATGTGTCCCTCTGACTAATGTTTCAGCAATAGAAAGGGAAAATGAGATCTGTGTGTAATTGTTTCACTGGAAAGTTGGCGGTAATCATTTCTCATCATCAGAAATAAAGACAAATGACTGTGTGGAGCCACAGTTAACCATCCAGTTTCTCCAAACTGGGACAGTAGTCACGTGCAAAAAAATTAGAAATTACTAATTTGGCCTTTCTGAAAAACATTTTAGAAAGATATAAATATATTTATGCTTAGCTACAGTATTCATGCAACCTTTCTTCTGTTATCTAAGGCGTACATTCCACATTTTATTAAGTTAACCACAAGAAAACAGTCCCATATTTCCAGGAAGAAAAGGAGTATTAATAGCATCTAAGTTATAGCCCATCTTACTATTTTTCTGAATGGGGTAAAGAAGTCAAATGTATCCCCACCTTGTTAGCAATATGAAAACTGAGAAATGAATTTTAATGAATAATGTTCCCTTCATGTGAGCTCTTCAAAAAAAGAAGCAAACCAGGTATCTGATTTTTTTTTTCCAATCACTGCAGGCCGTTACATAGGTCTTGTTTGGGGCAGGGAAGAGGCTTCTGTCCCCTTGGACGTAGTACAGTCAGTGCACTAACAATTATGTACATTCAAACTTGTTTTAAATTTTATCTTCAGCTGTACTGTAAATAGGGTACTGCATTGTAACCTCCATATATGTTTATTGTTTTCTGTAATATTTAAGAGTTGCTTAAAAGTATACAAAGTGTACAGTTACTAAAACAGCTAATTCTTCCTCTCACCCTTTGCAAAGAAGGGGCTTCAGTTCCTACATGGCCAGAACCATAATAAGAAATGTGTCTGTAATTTGTAACATAAATATTACAATGTTAGTAACATTTATCTTGCAGCCTTGTTTTTCAAAGTCCACTTTATTTTGATAAGTTCCGTATATTGCACTAATTTCTAGGTATTTTCATTATATGAAATCTACCATGCGTCAGATGATTTAATCTATTTAAGTGTCGAACTCTTAGCAGACCTCTTGTACATTTTACGGTAATTCAGAATTAGCAAGGAAAACAGTTCACCAGTGTTTAGTTTTATATTGAGGTGCTCAGGTTGGAATAAAGTGGTAAAAAAGCAAATACTAGTTTTTCTCTCTTTTTTGGCATAAAACAGTGAACATACATAGCCTAAAGTCTGCCTTTATATTTTCTTTACTGTGGTCTGAAAAATTATTTCCCATGGTGTTGATGTATCATCCTAATACTTGTTTTACTGAAGAACTGTCTTTGTAGCAATATATTTTGGTTCTCTGAATAACTGGAACTTAATTTTTTACATCAGCAACTGATACTCACTTCCATTGAGAAATATTACCATCACTGTAATATTGTCTCTGGAACCGGCCTCCAGAGCAGCATTTACAAGCTCACGGCTGATATACTCAGCTGCACCTTCAAAGAAATTCCTCGTGTCTGGCGAGTCTTCTTCGCTTGTTTGTGCATTGTCTGCACTGGGTGGGCTGGCAGTCTCTTCCTCCCTGCAAGCTTCATGATTAGTCATTTGTGGTGGAAATGTTTCCACATTTTTAGACTTAAAGTGTTCAGAATATTTTAAATCAGACAGTTTTGTCTTTAAATTTGTAGTTGACACATATTCATTAGATTCAGGGTTATATTGAAACAATACATGAATATTACTTTCTGATTCAGGAATGCCTGTATCACTGATTGAAAGATACAGAGGCTTCATGCATTGTGACTTGTTCTGTATGATGGGAGCACATGTTTCCTTGTATATCTGAAACAGGGTTATTGTCAGTGCTATGACTTCCTCTTTATCCAGAACTTCCCAGAGTCCATTAGTAGCTAAGATAAGGAATTGACATAAGTCATCAATAGGGACAGAAATAGTTTCAGGTGCTGGGATAATAAATTTTTTCAGCTTGAGATCTCCATGAAATCCAAGGCCTCGTGTCGTCTTTGTTTGCCCTTCCAAGAGCCCATACGGTTCAGTCGAAGTAATTAGTGCTCCACTCTGAAGGACTCTTCTTCTTTCACTGGTGTTCTCTGTGGTGTGTTCTTTGGTGAGACAAAATCCTTTTCCATTTCTGCATAAGACTGCTTGCACGTTACCTGAAAGGTTAGTTTTTGAAAAGACAGAATTTATCCTGAGAGATTTAATAACCATGTGTATCAAAGTATGCAGTTAAGTTTCCTGTTTCAATGCTAAACAGGCCGTGTAAAAATACTTCTTAAATATATACTGAATGATTTATAGTAACTTAGATTTCAAAGCAATGTATCTTTCATTGTCAAGTATTTGTACTGTTTAAAAGACTATTTAGTATTAAAATAACTAAAATCACAGATAGTGAGAAATACTTCCTAAATCAAGTTTCTGAGGGAGCTTCAGAATATTTTGGAGAGTTGAGTTGAACTTTTTTATACTCAGTGTATATTCCATACAGCAAATTCTTAAATATTTTAATAAATACTTTTTCAATGACAAACACACATTTTGGTTTTTTAAAAAAAATAGAATTTGACCATTCTATAACTGGTAAAGGTTACAAAATATATTTAATTCATGAGCAGTGAAAAAATTAGCATGCCATTCTGAATACCAGTAAAAAATGAGTGTGGTGGGAAAATGTATATATAAAATAAGCAACCAATATTACGTTAAACTTTTTGGCTGAAAACTTAAAAATTTAAAAGCTGATGGTACTTTGTTCATAATTCAAATGAACCTATGATAAGTCTAAAACATACTATGAAGAGATTTAAAGAATGTTGATGTTACTAAACTTTCATTCATTCATTAAAAAGTCACAACTTTTTTTAGTGGAGAGATTTTCTAGTCTGTAAGTACATAGTTGTGTTACAGATCAGACAGTACTTCTTGGTACAGAACCATGTATGATTTAAAGTCACCTAAAATGTGGCTGGTGATGCTGGATATTACATCTCTGAGAATTCAGATTCCCAGATTACCGTGCCAAATTTAGTTTGAGTATTCTGGTCTTACAGTGTTGTACCTGGGATCAGAATTTTATTGCTTACAGGGTTTAAATTTAAACCTTCAGTTTTTTAGGTAAAGAAATTAGGTTTAGGAGGCTGAGGGAGACAAAAGCTGGCTGCAGCACGTGTGCCGTGGGTTCACCCCCGATGTGGGGCAGAGCCCCAGCCCTGAAAACAGCTAAGCTCCACACAGTTGGTACGGTTGGACAGAAAGCCCAGCTTGATGAGCATGAAGGTCAGGTATAGACAGGTATGACTCATGTACATAATGCTAATTATCTGAGCTGCAGGATTGGGACCAAAAGGTGATGTATATAAAAAATGTTTCAGGAACCTGAGAGCTATGTAGATGGTAGTTTTGAAAACTGCAGGCCCTCGCTTCTGGTTTGGTTACTAATATTTTGTGTTAACTTGTCTTTACTGATCATTCGGCTTACGTTCAGCAGAAGGTAAATCATTAAAATTCTTGACTTTTGCTGAGTTGCGAATTGCTAATTAGGAGCAAGGGGACGTCGAATGGCATTGAGCATAGCTGTTTAAACTCAACATTAGGAAGGCACAGGGGTGGGTGGGTGTTGGTGTGGGGACTAAAGCCAGAGCCTTGCACGTGCTAGGTACATCCACAGCCTTCTGTTTCCTATTTTGAGACAAGATCTTGCCAGTTACGGGCTGCCTTCAAATTTTCAATCCTCCTGCCTCAGCTTCCACCATGACCTGCAGTACCTTTTTTAGTTAGAAAATACTTGTTGGCCTCTGGCAAGCCAAAGCCCAGTCAGTGAAAAGACACTGTACCCTTGTTAGTGACTTAATACGCTATATAAGCCGGGTATGGTGGTACACTCTTGTAATCCCAGCGCTCATGAGGCGGAGGCAGGCGGATCGCAGCAAGAGTGAGCCCAGCCCGGGATACGTAGTGAGTTCAAGGCCAGCCTGTGCCACACAGCAAGACCTTGTCTCAAATTAATTGAAAAAGGAAAGAAAGGGGAAAGAATTTAATTCCAGTACAAACTTAAAGGGTGGTAGACAAGTGTTCTGATTTCAGTTCCCTCTGCCTGTTAAATTTAGCCATGTGCACTTTGCCTGCTCCCACCTGCCCCTTGCTAGAGAAGAAGAAATGCCATTTGGGCTAATTTTACTCCTTGTGAATGTCCCTTAGGTTCAGCACAGTAGAACTTTGGGCCATTAGTCCTTGGTTGTGGTCCTAGATCTACCACTGGCTTACTGTTAGGCTTTAAGGATGTTACTTAATTGACGATTTATTCATCCTGTTAAAAAGGGAGAGACTGCCTGCTGATTAGTTCATATCTGTCTGTGTGAACGGTGCATGGAGGAGGCGGGGAACTAGTGTTTCTCAGCTAATGTTTGTATCCCAAGAGGTAGAGGGTCAGTACAATGAAACTAATGAAACATGCAGAAGTTGGATGGGGAATAGTTGAGCGTTGTGGCGCACAACTGTAATCCTAACACAAGACTGAGGCAGGAAGATCACAAGTTCAAACCCAACCTGGGTAAGTTATAAACTTACCAAGACCCTGTCTGTTTTGTTCTTTGAGACAAGGTATTGCTATGTAGTTTGGCTGACCTTGAACTCTCTGTGTAGCCCAGCTTGGTCTTGAACTCAAGATGATCCTCCTGCCTCAGCCTCCCAAGTGCTAGGATAACAAGCATATGCCACCATGCCCAGTGAGTTTGATTTTTTTGGTTTTTCTTTTTAAGACGTTGTCTGAAAATAAGAGCTGGGGATGCATCTCAGTGGGAAGGTCCTGGATTCAAGCCCCAGTACTGAAAGGTAAAGTTACTTCCTATTCCAGGAAGGGGAAGGCAGGAAAGGAGAGGCCAGTAAAAGAAAACAAACAAACAAAAAAACCAGGAAATGATCAGTGTTTTCATTTCAGACATAGAGATAAAATTTCAAGGACATTCTTAAGCATAGGAAGTAGGTAGTAGTAACTTGGGAACAGAGGAAATACTGGGGAAAGGAGAGTGAGCAATTGCAAAGGAGCGTAAATGAGTTCGTGTAAAGGGGAGTAGGAACTGTCCATTCTTTCCATTAAGGCTCTGATTTCAGCAAGGCGGCTTTGTGACACCTACTGGTGATCAGCGTGAGAGCCTTGCTAATGCAGAACTAGTTTTCACCAGACGTTTTGCAAGATAGATGATCGTGAAATAATCTGCACATTGTTCTTTGCTGTGGTCCTAAAGCTGGCAACATTTTACCCACGGGTTTCAATTATTTATGAGATATTTGTTGAGTATGTTCTCAGAATCACATTTGTATATATGTAACTACTGGGAAGGTGTAAGAAGTTCAGTGTTAAAAATGTGGTTTTTAAGCCAAGTGGGTGATACATGCCTGTAATCCCAGCGCTCGGGGCTGAGGCAGGAGGATTGCCTCAGTTCAAGTCCAGCCTGGGCTACACAGTAGAAAGTTTAAGGCTAGTCTGAACTACATGGTGAATCCCTGTTTCAAAAATCCAAAAGGAAAAGAAAAAAGATTTTTAGGCTGGTTTGTAACTCAGTAGTAGAGCATGTGCTTAGCATACGCCAAGCCCTCCCTGGGTTCAGTCCCAAAGGAGGGAGGAAGAAGGGAAAGAGCAAGGAAGGGAGAAAGGTTTCTTCCTTGCATAACATGAGACTCTGGGATTGGATTAGGCTTTAGGAGAAAAGAATAGGGCTAGACAGTTCTAAACGAACTGATAAAACAGGAATTATAAAACTTTACATGTTTATAGAAACAATCATATCTTCACAAGAAAATAAAAATAAATGAGATCTATGAAAACTTGGTGAAAGAAAAACCCAAATAGTAAAGAATATACCCTAAAAGTGCAGAAAACTGGTGGTCACTTGAAGTATGATTTTAAGTTAGATCAACAAGCCGGGCGTGGTGGTACACGCCTGTAATCCCAGCACTCGGGAGGCTGAGGCAGGAGGATTGTTGCAAGTTCGAGACCAGCCTGGCCTACAAAGTGAGCTCAAGGTCAGCCTGAACTGCATAGCAAGACCCTGTCTCAAAAAAGACAAGAAAAAATAAGTAAATTAGATCAACAAGTCCTGGCTTATTCACTATCATAGTTATGTGATCTTATTTCATGCCTTGAGGTGCTTCCATATGTATTAAAAACGATTAATTTCACAGTTTATGAAGACTAAAGTCTTCATAAGGAGTAAAACCAGTCACTTAGGAGCTAGGTGGTAGCTCAGTAGTGCAGGACTTGCCTCAGCATACGCAAGGCCTTGGGTTCAATCCCCAACAGGAAAAAAAAGGTACTTGATTAAGAGAAAAGAGGCCTGAGAGGTAGTGGGTAAAGTTGTGCCTTGTCTCAATCTAGTGTGAGCTCATGAAGGGAAAGGTAGGGCACTGGGAAATAACTGGTTTATAGAGCCTTGTCAAAAGTAATTATTGGGGCATCCCACTTGCGCCGCCTTTTGTCTGTCTCTTGAACAGGAGCTTGCTTTCTCTCAATAAAAATATTCTGCTCTTAACCTCTGTGGTTCCAAAAATTCGTTCTTCAGTTTTAGAAAACACGAACTCGTCACATACCTTTCAGGTTGGGAGTTTCTTTCCCCTATATCGTTAGGAGGTCTTCCACCAAGATCACTGGATGGAGACATGGGATGTTCACAGTCGAAGTTGCCTACTCCTTTTAGAGTGCATAATTAAACATGGGAAGGTGTTTGACCCTTGCACATTGAAAAAGAGCCATTTAATATTTTTCTGCGCGTGCGCATGGCCTACCTATCCCCTAGAGCCAAAATGGAATGCACAGACTTAAGGCCTGCCCAAGATAAAAATATCACAGGCCTTTGGATAGGTCCTCTGCAGAGTATCTGTCACTGCCAGTCAACAATTATGACCCCCCTCAACCTGAAGAAGTCATTGCTCATGATTCCCTCACGGCAGTACGGGTTCCTTCTTCAGAGGGGGAATATTACAGGCAGCTGAGTTGGGTAGAAATACTACAGGCAGTCAGACAGGGCTAGGCCTCCGGATGAGCCAGTGCAGAAGATGGGATGGAGACCTTGCAAATGGAGAGACAGGCACTTCTCTGTGGGCCAGACCGCAAGACAAAAGATGAAATAAATGCACCCGCAGACCTCCCTAGGGGCGG